GGCAGCAGGTGGTGATAATAGTGGTGGCACGAGTCATGTGGCACCAGCAGCAGGCCACGCTACTACTGACACTAACTCGGCACAACCACAACTAGCCTCAACCAACCCCACACTCCCACAACATCCACAACCACAACTTGCACAACCACAACCACCTTTCAATATCCAGAACCCACCAGCAGACTGCATCTGGGATTGGTAGCAAGGTGACAGTTTTGTTCCCAATCCCCATGACTTTGATGAAACACAAAGTGGAATACGGCTATCATGTACACTTGTGAACAGTGCTACTGAACTGGAATGCTTTCACTTATTCTTTGATGAACCCCTGATGGACATTATTGTCAGGGAAAGCAATACATACTTAGAGTACACCATGGCAAACACAATTCTTTCACCAAGATCATGCCTACACCAGTGGAAGGACACAACTGTGGCAGAGATGTATCTGTTCTTTGCCACAATAATGCTTATGCCACATGTGTATAAGCACAGTGTTAACACATGCTGGCTGACAAACCGCCTGATTTCAACCCCAGCTTTCAGTGACATTATACCAGTGAATAGATTTGTGCTACTGTTACGTATGCTCCACATTTCAGACAAAACAAGGCCTGACAGAAGCAACAGGTTATATAAGATCAGAAATGTGTTTATGTACCTGAAACAAAAGTGCTGTATGTATTTTTATCCCTTCAGGAAGCTTGTTATTGATGAGTCTTTCATTTTGTTCAAAGGCAGACTCTCATTCAAGTATTACATACCAAGCAAGAGGCAACGCTTTGGTATAAAGTTATTTGTACTGTGTGATTGCAAAAGTGGTCTGGTTTTGGATGTAATTGTGTACAGTGGCAGTAAAACATTGCAAGATACCAGGAAGGTACTGGGTATCTCTGGTGATGTGGTTAAATCAATGATGGAACCATATCTTGGTAAGGGGCATATTTTATATACTGACAACTGGTACACAAGCCCTTTACTCAGTGATTTCTTGCGAGTGAACACGACAGATGTGTGTGGCACAGTGCGTGGAAATCTTAAGCATATGCCTAGGTTCGACACTGGCACTCGTAGAGGTGATGTTCAGGTGTTTGCTGCCAATGACATCATGGCATTTCGGTGGCATGACAAACGTAATGTCACACTGTTGACATCAGTTCACCGACACGAAATGGTAGACAGTGGCAAGCAGAATAGAGAGACCAATGAACCCATCGTAAAACCTGCAGCTGTGATGGATTACAACCTCAATATGCGGTTAGTGGACAAATGTGACATGCAGATTGAGTTTGCCGATTGTGTTCACAAGAGCTATGAGTGGTACATAAAACTCTTTTTCCATCTTCTTGACATTTCCATGCTGAATGCTTATATGTATAAGTTGAAGACCAACAACAAACCCAAATAAGGTGAATTTTGTTTGTCAGTTATCAGACAAATAATATTCAAGTACATACCAAGGAACAACACTTGCAATTATCAACACATGCCCTCATGTCTGAGGCCTGGTGATCACTACCCCATACCACTGCCTGCTACTGCTTTCAAGAAAAATGCTCAGAAGAGGTGTTATGTCTGTGCACATACCACAAAATACCCACAAAAATGCAGAGACACTCATTTTATGTGTGAGGAGTGTAAAACACCATTGTGCATACACCCTTGTTTCAAAGAATTCCACAAGCTGCAGCAGTTCTAGGAAAGTGTCCAGTGATTGTACATTTTTTTTTTCTCAAGTCTGCCATCTCCCACTGAGGCAGGGTGACCCAAAAAGAAAGAAAATCCCCAAAAAGAAAATACTTTCATCATCATTCAACACTTTCACCTCACTCACACATAATCACTGTTTTTGCAGAGGTGCCCAGAATACAACAGCTTAGAAGCATATACATACATATAAAGATACACAACATATCCCTCCAAACTGCCAATATCCCAAACCCCTCCTTTAAAGTGCAGGCATTGTACTTCCCATTTCCAGGACTCAAGTCCGGCTATATTAAAATAACCGGTTTCCCTGAATTCCTTCACTAAATATTACCCTGCTCACACTCCAACAGCTCGTCAGGCACCAAATACCATTTGTCTCCATTCACTCCTATCTAACATGCTCACGCAAGCTTGCTGGAAGTCCAAGCCCCTCGCCCACAAAACCTCCCTTACCCCTTCCTTCCAACCTTTTCGAGGACAACCACTATCCCGCCTTCCTTCCCCTACAGATTTATATGCTCTCCATGTCGTTCTACTTTGATCCATTCTCTCTAAATGACCAAACCACCTCAACAACCCCTCTTCAGCCCTCTGACTAATACTTTTATTAACTCCACACCTTCTCCTAATTTCCACAATCCGAATTTTCTGTATAATTATTTGCACCACACACTACCCCTAGACAGGACATCTCCACTGCCTCCAACCGCCTCCTCCCTGCTGCATTCATAACCCAAGCTTCACACCCATATAAGAGTGTTGGTACTACTATACTTTCATAAATTTCCCTTCTTTGCCTCCATAGATAACGTTTTTTTGTCTCCACGTATACCTCAACGCACCACTCACCTTTTCTCCCTCATCAGTTCTACGATTAACCTCATCCTTCATAAATCTATCCGCCGACACGTCAACTCCCAAGTACAGTGGACCCCCAGTATACGATATTAATCCATTCCAGAGAGCTAGCTGTTAGTCGAATTAATTTTCCCCATAAGAAATAATGGAAATCCAATTAATCCGTTTCAGACAGCCAAAAGTATTAACAAAAAATATTTTTTTTTAAAGATTAAATATAAATATACATACAGAAAACAATGAAGTCTTTACTGACTCTACTTGTTGGTGTATGACAGGCACATAGGAGGCAAGAGGAAGACAAGTTTATTATGCTTCAGTGTGACGCTAATATCATCTCTATATGGCTTATTTATCTATCACAGTTCATCTAATATGACATTATAAACAATAATAACATAGAAACATGATATATATTCTAGAATGAATAAATTATATCATAATGTATAAGAGGAGTAAATGGTGTAAGTGTTGATGGGTTTAAGGGCCGCCACTGAGAGAAGCCGTGTTGGTGGCATTGGAGGATTTTACCAGCACCACCATCACACTTAAACAATGTATGTATTTTATAAATAAGAAATATTTACATTTTAATTTATAAATAAGAAATATTTATTTAAATCATAAATAAGAAATATTTACATTTTAATTTATAAATAAGTAAGTTTATTCAGGTATACACACATGCAGTTACATAGATTATCATACATAGCAGCATAAGTGTAAAGTACCTAGGATAACCCAAAAAAAAGTCAGAGTGACTTTTGTATTTCCATTGGGGTCCTTTTATATGTACACTTAATATATTTACTTTTATGCTTACACTTTTATATTTACACTTACCTTGGAGATGTTAGTTTAATTAGTTAGTTTGATGGAGAAGATGCTGGCAGAGGTTTAGGGTAGTGGAAGATAGCAGGCCAGCATATGTTCAGCAGATGTACACACATCCAACAACATTGGAGAGTTACTTTTGTGTCGTTTTTCTATCGCTTACTTGCTTAACTTACTTGCTACACTGTTAACCCATAAACGGTCCAAACGTATACAGTGGACCCCCACCTTACGAATGCATTGCGTTACGTTAAATCCGCCATACAAAGCATTTGAACGCAAAATTTTTGCCTCACCTCACGATAAAAAACTCGCCTTACGTGATTCGTCCGGGACGCGTCCCACGTGTCGCCTCAGCACCATTGTTTACAAGCCAGCCAGTGCAGTCGCATCTACGCATACATTCGATACATTTCACATTATCCCAGTGTTTTTAGTGCTTGTAACTGCAAAATAAGTCACCTTGGACCCCAAGAAAGCTTCTAGTGCCATCCCTGTGGTAAAAAGGGCAAAAATTAGTATGGAATTGAAAAAAGAGATTAAGGAAATGTGTGCAAAGTAGGTTGAATTACAAACCGACTACCCAATAACGTGGTCAGAAATTTGCAATTTGGCCAATTTCACAAAAACTAAAAAATATGACAATTTCAAAATAAGGTCCAGAATGAACAATGCAGACATTCCTGGCTCTAAAATAACATTTTCTTTGTTCATCAGTCATGTCTCCAGGCCCCTCTGATATTACTCTTGCTTTCTATTTTGAATTTTTATTCAAACAAAAAATAGAAGATTTACTATTATGCAGACTACTGCAATACTGTAATGATTGTATAAATAACATCAACCCATTCATGACTGCATATTAGAATGGCTAGTTGGACATTTATTGGACAATGACATTATTTGTTTACTTTTGACCATCGGCAAAAATCAAACATTTCCCCTACTTTGAGATCCATTTCCAGGTTCTTTTTGTAGTAAAATTGGTCAAAATCACCTCTATTTCTATAATATGTTTTCCATTCTATCATATGAGACCAAGAAAATGAGAATACAACCATAAATACTATACGAAAATAGACCACAAAGTCGGCATTTTAATTAAAAAAAACGGTCGGAGTTCTTTTTTTCTCATTATGCACTGCGTGCTGCAGGATTTTTTTTATATGGTGCACACTGACCACACAGACCCATTCTCTCACATGTGGGCCTACCATCTTTCTCCTTCTTGATTTGAAGCCGCTAGAATTTATGAGTATATATACATCAAACACGGTACCTCGTAAGACGTATATATACAGCCGTGACAGTCAAAGGGTTAAAGAAACTGTAAAATGGGGCCCTCCTGTAACTAAGTAAATTTTCATTATAATCATGGGAAAGCATTAACTTGTAGGAATCATACAGCATAGCTATGATAATTGGATTCAATCTAAGGGAAGGGAGAGTAGATCTTCAGCTCAGTGGAGCAAAAGTCTTAGGTAGCATGAAGGTATCCTCTCTTGAGTGTGAAAGCTTGTGTTTTATATACTGTATTTGTGAGATTATTTATTTATTTTTTTTTTTTTGCTTAGTAATTTCCTATAACTTCATTACAGAAGTGTGATGTTGTGATGTGGAGAATGGTGCGCCGATACCTGCCCCACGCTGTCGTAGGGGCAGTCATGTTGGTTCTTATTTATCGTGCCCATCATCCCTGCCAAGATGCAGTGCAACGACCATTTAGAAAGGTATAACAATTGCTAACCTAAATGCTGAAGTAGGAGAAACTGTTTTAGAGGGTGTAGTAGGTAAGTTTGGGTGCCAGGGTCAAAAGGGGGCTTTTCATTGAACTTTGTATAGAAAGAGGTTTGATAACAGGTAATACATATTCATTATAAAAGAGGATAAATAAGTACACAAGATATGATATAGGGCTTAATGACAGCAGTTTATTATATTACGTATTAGTAGGTTGTAGGTTGGTAGACAGCAACCACCCAAGGAGGTACTACCGTCCTGCCAAGTGAGTGTACAACGAAAGCCTGTAATTGTTTTACATGATGGTAGGATTGCTGGTGTCTTTTGTCTGTCTTATAAATATGCAAGATTACAGGTACATCTTGCTACTTCTACTTACACTTAGGTCACACTACACATACTTGTACATGTTTATTTATACACACTCGTCTGAGTTTTCTTTGATTTTATCTTAATAGATCTTGTTCTTATTACTTTTCCTTTTATATCCATGGGGAAGTGGAATAAGAATCTTTCCTCCGTAAGCCGTATGCCGGGAACAATGGGCTGGTAACCCCTTTTTCTGTAATGGTTACTAAAAAGAATAAGAAGAAAATTGTCAAAGTGGGATGTCTGAATGTGCATGGATTTTGTGGGAATGACAAGAAAGAGGTGATTATGGATGTTATGAATGAGAAGAAGCTGGATGTCCTGGCCTTAAGTGAAACAAAGCTGAAGGGGGTGGGAGAGTTTCAGTGGAGAGAAATAAATGGAATTAGGTCAGGGGTTTCAAATAGAGCTAGAGCTAAAGGAGTAGCAATAATGTTGAAGGATAAGCTATGACAGGAAAAGAGGGAGTATAAATGTATTAATACAAGGATTATGTGGAGTAAAATAAAGGTTGGATGTGAAAAGTGGGTTATAATAAGTGTATATGCACCCTGGAGAAGAGAGAAGTGTAGAGGAGAGAGAGAGATTTTGGGAAATGAGTGAATGCATGGGGAGTTTTGAACCAAGTGTGACAGTACTTGTGGTTGGGGATTTCAATGCTAAATCGGGTAAAAATGTGGAATGAGTAGTAGGTAAATTTGGGGTGCCAGGGGTAAATGAAAATGAGGAGCCTTAAAGGCTCCCCATTTTCATTTATCCCTGTGAAGAAAGAGGTTTGGTAATAAGTAATACATATTTTATGAAAAAGAGGATAAATAAATATACAAGGTATGATATAGCACGTAATGAAAGTAGTTAGATTATGTATTGGTGGATAAAAGGTTGATGGGTAGGCTCCTGGATGTACATGTTTGTAGAGGGGCAACTGATATGTCGGATCATTATTTAGTTGTAGCAATAGTTAGAGTAAGAGATAGAAGGGAAAAGAGGAAAATGGCAACAAGTAAGAGAGAGGTGAAAGTGTATAAACTAAGGGAGGAGGATATAAGAAACTATTGGCAGAAAGGTGGGCTGGTGCAAGTATGAGTAGTGGGGGGGGGGGGTTGAAGAGGGTTGGAAAAGTTTTAAAAATGTAGTATTAGAATGTGGGGCAGAAGTTTGTGGTTATAGGAGGGTGGGGGCAGGTGGAAAGAGGAGTGATTGGTGGAATGATGAAGTAAAGGGTGTGATAAAAGAGAAAAAGTTAGCTTATGAGAGGTTTTTACAAAGCAGAAGTGTTATAAGAAGAGCAGAGTATATGAAGAGTAAAAGAAAGGTGAAGAGAGTGGTGAGAGAGTGCAAAAGGAAAGCAGATGATAGAGTGGGAGAGGCACTGTCAAGAAATTTTAATGAAAATAAGAAAAAATTTTGGAGTGAGTTAAACAAGTTAAGAAAGCCTAGGGAACGAATGGATTTGTCAGTTACAAACAGAGTAGGGGAGTTGGTAGATGGGGAGATGAAGGTATTAGGTAGATGGTGGGAATATTTTGAGGAACTTTTAAATGTCGACGAAGAAAGGGAGGCGGTAATTTCATGCATTGGCCAGTTAGGTATGCCATCTTTTAGGAGTGAGGAAGAGCAGGATGGGAGTGTGAGGGAGGTACGTGAGGCATTATGTAGAATGAAAGGGAGTAAAGCAGCTGGAATTGATGGGATCATGACAGAAATGTTAAAAGCAGGGGTTTTTATAGTGTTAGAGTGGTTGGTATTTTTGTTTAATAAATGTAATAATAAATGTTTAATAAATGATATTCAGTAGTAAAGTTCAACTTAGGACCATTTCGACTTACGACCGGTTTCTCGGAACCGAACTCGGTCGTAAGTCGGATGGTAGGTGTATATATGTGCACATCCCTCAGGGTTTTCTTCTATTTTCTTACTAGTTCTTGTTTATTTCCTGTTCTCTCCATGGGGAAGTGGAACAGAATTCTTCCTCTGTAAGCCATGCGTGTTGTAAGAGGCGACTAAAATGCCGGGAGCAAGGGGCTAGTAACCCCTTCTGTATATATTACTAAATGCAAAAGGAGAAGCTTTCGTTTTTCCTTTTGGGCCACCCCACCTCGGTGGGATACGGCCGGTGTGTTGAAAGAAAGAAAATGTATGAAAGAAGGGAAGGTACCTAGGGATTGGCAGAGAGCATGTATAATTCCTTTATATAAAGGGAAGGGGGACAAAAGAGATTGTAAAAATTATAGAGGAATTAGTTTACTGAGTATACCAGGAAAAGTGTATGGTAGGGTTATTATTGAAAGAATTAGAGGTAAAACAGAATGTAGGATTGCAGATAAGCAAGGAGGTTTTAGAATGGGTAGGGGATGTGCAGATCAAGTGTTTGCATTGAAGCATATATGTGAACAGTATTTAGATAAAGGTAGGGAAGTTTTTATTGCATTTATGGATTTAGAAAAGGCATATGATAGAGTGGATAGGGGAGCAATGTGGCAGATGTTGCAAGTATATGGAATAGGTGGTAAGTTACTAAATGCTGTAAATGAATTTTTATGAGGATAGTGAAGCTCAGGTTAGGGTATGAAGAAGAGAGGGAGACTACTTCCCGGTAAAAGTAGGTCTTAGACAGGGATGTGTAATGTCACCATGGTTGTTTAATATGTTTATTGATGGGGTTGTAAAAGAAGTAAATGCTAGGGTGTTCGGGAGAGGGGTGGGATTAAATTATGGGGAATCAAATACAAAATGGGAATTGATAGTTACTTTTTACTGATGATACTGTGCTTAAGGGAGATTCTGAAGAAAAATTGAGTGTGTGTGTAAAGGTAGAAAGTTGAAAGTGAACATAGAAAATAGTAAGGTGATGAGGGTATCAAATGATTTAGATAAAGAAAAATTGGATATCAAATTGAAGAGGAGGAGTATGGAAGAAGTTAATGTTTTCAGATATTTGGGAGTTGACATGTCAGTGGATGGATTTATGAAGGATGATGTTAATCATAGAATTGATGAAGGAAAACAGGTGAGTGGCGCATTGAGGTATATGTGGAGACAAAAAATTTTAGCTATGGAGGCAAAGAAGGGAATGTATGAAAGTATACTGGTACCAACACTCTTAGATGGGTATGAAGCTTGGGTTGTAAATGCTGTAGCTAGGAGACAGTTGGAGTCAGTGGAGATGTCCTGTTTAAGGGCAATGTGTGGTGTAAATATTATGCAGAAAATTTGGAGTGTGGAAATTAGGAGAAGGTGTGGAGTTAATAAATAAAAGTATTAGTCTGAAGAGGGGCTGTTGAGGTGGTTTGGTCATTTAGAGAGAATGGATCAAAGTAGAATGACATGGAGAGCATATAAATCTGTAGGGGAAGGAAGGCGGGGTAAGGGTCGTCCTTGAAAAGGTTGGAGGGAGGGGGTAAAGGAGGTGTTGTGGGTGAGGGGCTTGGACTTCCAGCAAGCGTGCATGAGCGTGTTAGATAGGAGTGAATGGAGACGAATGGTATTTGGGACCTGACGAGCTGCTGGAGTGTGAGCAGGGTAATATTTAGTGAAGGGATTCAGGGAAACCAGTTATTTTTATATAGCCAGACTTGAGTCCTGGAAATAAGAAGTACAGTGCCTGCACTTTAAAGGAGGGGTTTGGGATATTGGCAGTTTGGAGGGATATGTTGTGTATCTTTATATGTACGTATATGCTTCTAAACTGTTGTATTCTGAGCACCTCTGCAAAAACAGTGATTATGTGCGAGTGAGGTGAAAGTGTTGAATGATGAAAGTATTTTGTTTTTGGGGATTTTCTTTCTTTTTGGGTCACCCTGCCTCGGTGGGAGACGGCCGACTTGTTAAAAAAAAAAATTAGTATATAAAAGTTTAGTGGGTAGACTTCTGGATGTGCATGCTTTTAGAGGGGCAATTGATATATCAGATCATTATTTAGTTGTAGCTACAGTGAAAGTAAGAGGTAGATACGGTACAAGGAAAATGTTGTCAGTGATTAAGAGAGAGGTGAGTTTATAAATTATAGGAGGAGGAAGTTAAAGTAAGTTATCAGCAACTGCTGGAAGAAAAATGTGCTAGAGAGAGTATAGGTAATGAGGGGGAAATTGTAGAGATATTTGGTAGATTTAAATATGTAGTGTTAGTGTGTGTAGCAAAAGTTTGTGGATATAGGAGAGTGGATGCAGGAGTGAAGAGGAGCAATTGGTGGAAGGATGAGGTAAAGGAGGTGGTAAGGGAAAAAAAGTTAGCATGAGAGGTTTTTACAAAGCATAAGTGATATAAGGAGGGTGGAGTATATGGAGACTGAGTAAGAGAGAGAGAGAGGTTGAGGAAGTGTAAAGGAGATATTTGGGAGTGGACTTGTCAGTGAACAGTTTATGAAAGATGAGGTGAACTATAGAATTAACAGGAGGGAAAAAGTGGGTGGTGCATTGAGGCATCATCTTTGGAAACAAAGAACATTATCTGTGGATGTAATGGGGGGAATTTATCAGAGTACAATGGTACTAACACTCTTATATGGGTGTGAAGCATGGATTATAAATATTGCAGTGAGGAGGAGGCAGCAGAGGTGTGTCTGAGGGCAATATATGATATAAATAATATGCAGAGAATTTGTAGTTTGAAGATAAGGTGAGGGGTTACTAAAAGTGTTGTCTAGAGGACTGCAGAGGGGTTATTGAGATGGTTTGGACATTAGAGAGGGTGGAGAAAAATACGATTACTTAGAGGGGTGTATAAATCTGTAGCGGAGGGAAGGCAGGGTTGGGGTTGAAGGTGCAAGGACCTTGGACATCCTACGAGTACATGTGAGCATGTCAGATAGGAGTGAGTGGAGGCAAGTGGTTTTTATGATGATGTGCTGTTGGAGTATAAGCAAGGTAACTTGGAGGGATTCAGGGAAACTGGTTAGCTGGGCTTGAGTCCTAGAGGTAGGAGGTACAGTGCCTGCACTGTGTAGGAGGGGTGGGGATATTGCAGTTTGGAGGGGCATCTGAGCTGTAGTATGTGGCATGTCTCTGGCAAAACAGTGATGGAGTGAGTGGTAAAGTTATTTTAAGATTGTTTTTTGGGTCACTCTGTCTTGGTGGGAGATGGTTGGTGTGTTAAAAAAAATCCATAGCTTTGTGACACACCCATACAATTAAATGCAATACATTTCTTTAAAAAAAAATATTTTGACTATACTGTAGTACATACTGTACTTTTGATGTTTGCCAACAGCACATGACGTCAGATAATACAGGAGCTTTGCATAATTATGACCGGAATGAGCCAATGATCTTCATTGGAGGGATGCCACGCTCTGGCACTACACTTGCACGTGCCATGCTTGATGCCCATCCTGACATAAGGTGTGGAGAGGAGACTAGAGTAGTGCCTCGGATACTTCAAATGCGACAACAGTGGAAAAGATCGGCCAAGGAATCATTACGGTTACAAGAAGCAGGTGTTACAGATGAGGTTAGTTCAAGTGGGTTTGTATGATTATTGAAACTCAAACAAAATAATGGCTCAAAATTTGTAGATAATTAAGTGCATATTTAGTTGACTGTTGATTAACATGGGAGTTAGGTTCTTGAAAATGGCATCTAATAAAAATAAATCTTCTAAAATGAACTGAAGAATACAGGTCTCCCTCAACATTCGCGAGGGTTAGGGGATCAAGAGCCTCGCGAATGTTGAAAAACCGTGAATGTTTGGTGCCCCAATATATTGTAGGGAAATATATTACAATACTGCTTCCTTAACTTGTTGAACCATGAATAATCATAAAATACATGAAAACGTCGTAAATTGTACTAAATATATACATGTTATGCTTTAATAACGTATGTTATTTAATAACATGTATGTTAATAACATGTATGTTATTAAATACCACAGACTCCACCACTGCCTCCACCAATGCCTCTACCACTGTGAGTCCCTACTACCCTCCCTCCGACCCCCGCAACTGGCAGCCAGCCCTCCCACCACTCAGTGTGGTGAGTGTTTTGTTTGTTCATTATTTGCTATTAAACTACAGAATAAATAATGTAAACCCATTCATGACTGCATATTGGAATGGCTATTAGGAAAGGTATTAGATGGTGACATCATGTGTTTACTCTTGAACACAGCAAAGAATCGAACATTTCTGCTATTGCTAATAATAACAATAGTAATAATAATAATAATAACAATAATAATAAATACGATATAATTGAAGTAGGAAATTGTACAAAAATACGAGGGAGTGGTTGACACATCGTCAGTGTGACTTTGTTTATGCTGGAGTGGACATTAGTCTCCCTGCTCTTCCAAACATTTCACAATAATTCAGCGGTTGAGGCAGTGGTATTTAATAACATATATGTTATAAATAATACTAGTACATGTTATTATTAATAACATGTATTATTATTAACATGTATGTATTTAATAACATATATGTTATAGATAATAATAGTACATATTATTAATAACATGTATTATTATTAACATGTATGTTATTAAATACCATTGCCTCAATCACTGCCTCTACCACTCCAGTCACACTCAATCTACAAGCACCAAACACAATGAATTATTGTGAAATGTTTGGAAGAGCAGGGAGACTAATGTTCATTCCAGCATAAACAAAGTCACACTGACGATGTGTCAACCACTCCCTCGTATTTTTGTACAATTTCCTTCTTCAATTATATCATATTTATTATTATTATTATTATTATTATTATTATTATGATTATTATTATTATTATTATTATTATTATTATTATTACTATTGTTATTATTAGCTGTAGCAGAAATGTTTAATTCTTTGCAGTGTTCAAGAGTAAACACATGATGTCACCGTCTAATACCTGTCCGAATAGCCATTCCAATATGCAGTCATGAATGGGTTTACATTATTTATACTGTAGTTTAATAGCAAATAATGAACAAACAAAACACTCACCACACTGAGTGGTGGGAGGGCTGGCTGCCAGTTGCGGGGGTCGGAGGGAGGGTAGTAGGGACTCGCAGGTGGCGGGAAACTTAAATATGATTTGGCGGCTGGGAATTTGGTGGCTGGGAATTTGGTGGTTGGGAATTCGCGAATGTGTGAAGCCCGTGAAAGTTGAAAACGTGAATGTTGAGGGAGACCTGTATAGGGTTATGGTCATTTGACCCCAAAAAAGGCAACCAAATTTTTTATAGGTCTTGAAATTGAAAAACAATGATAATGTAATTGTATATGGATGCATTGATGCCTTATATCTAATAAAACACAGCTACAAAGGAAGGAAATTAAAAGTGAATATAGGAAACTTAAGGTGATGAGTGTAACCAACAAGTTTGGCAATGAAAGATAGAATATCAGATTGGAAGTAGGGAGTATGGAAGAAGTGACTGTGTTTAGATATTTTCAAGTGAACTTGTTGGTGGATAGATATATGAAAGGTCTGCTGATATTGCCATCAGCTGGTCACCGACGTTCCACTTCACATCTTCATATGTCAGTAAATAATGATGGGAATTTTTTTTAATCACATCACTGAATTTTTTTTTTTTTTTTTATTTAGTGCCAACATTCTCAAACTATTCTGTTGGAGGTTAAATGTGGTATAGGATTAAAGTATTAGTGGAAATTGTTAGTTCATCATAACATTCAGTCTTACAGAATGGGAGATTTGTAATTGTTGTAATGCATCTAGTGTGATCCTAGACAAATGTTATCTGCAATCATCTAATAAATTTTTGCACTATAAGTCATTATTTCCCAACAATTTTGTACAGTTTTGATACTGTATAATTATATAAAAAAATCATTGATGAGTTACTTGCCAATCCCTGGATATCTTATCAGAATAAAGTATGGTTCTCTGGATTTGTCTTATAGGAAAATTTATTTTTACATTTTTTATGGTTTTGGCTGATAAGAGAAAATCACTGCTTATTTATTTTGAGTATCATTACAAATAGCCAATTTTTGACTCATTCAAGTATGGCTTTACAAAATATGACTGCATTGAATAGCATGTTTCCACTGGATATTAGCATGATAAAATGTAAATAAATCTAACGTTTTTCAGGTGTTGGATGAAGCCATCGCCTCATTCATCCTGGACATAGTGGTTAACCATGGACAACCAGCATCTCGTTTATGTAACAAAGATCCGTTCACTCTGAAATCTGCCACATATCTTTCTAAATTGTTTCCCAATGCAAAATTTCTTTTCATGGTGCGAGACGGCAGGGCAACAGTTCATTCCATTATATCACGTAAGGTTAGTGTATCCTACTGATTATAAGGATGCAAGTCAAGATTGCAGCATTATGCAGAGTTTGACGAAAGGAATCAAAAGAGCTAATCAGGGCAATACCAGCGCAGAGTTAATAAAAGTTGTAAGTGTGACTAATAGTAAAAACTGTAAAAAGGTTTATTACAAATATTTGCCAACAGGACAAAATAGGTAAAGTTAAATTGTGTAGGAATGAGAAGAGATTATGTAAGAGTCAAGAGAATTAGGTTGTAATACAGCACACCACAAAATATCATTACATTACATTACAGAAAAGATGGAGGTTCATTGTCTTTGGAGAATATTTTCTTTTATGTTATATGTATTACATCCCAAGATTTGAGAGTTTTCAATATGGTTTTTCATATATTTTGTTTCATTAACCCTCTCAGTGTCGGCCCATTATATAATGGCTTTGCAACCATTGTTGGTCCCATAGTACAGAGTCATGAGCGCAGCTCACTCAGATAAGCTGTGAGCAGTAAATATGGGCCTAGATATGAGAGAATGGGTCTATGCAGTAAGAGTGCACTATATAAAAAAAATCCTGCAGCATACAGTGCATAATGAGAAAAAAAAAATTAGTGTTTTTGGTTTAACCCTTTGAGGGTCCATGCCATTGTTCTATGGGTTTAACCCATAGAACGGTCGGTCCCGTAAAACTATGCCAAAATTCTAGTGGCTTCCAATCTTGTGGGAGAAAGCTGGTAGGCCTCTATACGAGAGAATGGATCTGCGTGGTCAGTGTGCACAATATAAAAAAAAAATTGCTGCAGCATGCAGTGCAGAATGAGACAAAAAAACTAACTGATTTTAGTGTAAAACAGTGACTGAGGTGTATTTTCGTATGGTTTTTATGGTTGTATTCTCGGTTTCATGGTCTCATTTGATAGAATGGAAGATATATTACAGAAACAGAGATGATTTTGATTAGTTTCAGAACTGAAAGTAGCTTGAAATTGAGCTCAAAGTAGCGGCAGTGTTCAATTTTTGCCAATATTCCAGAGTACACTTGTCCAATGTGCATTCAGCTTACCAGTCTGATACTCATTTAGGAATGCACTGACACAATTATTACAATAATTCAGTAGTCTGCATAACAAATCTATTTTTTGTATGAATAGAAATTCAAAATGGAAAGCAAGTGTAATATAAGAGGGGCTGGAGATGTGACTAAGGAACAGAGGAAATGTTTTTTAGTGCCAAGAATGTCTACATTGTTTATTCTGGACCATATATTTAAAGTGACATTTTTTTATTTTGTGTGGAATTCGCCAAATTACCATTTTCTGATCACTTTATTGGGTAGTTGAAATAGGTGAATGGGCAGTTTCTTGTGCTCAATCAACAGAATAGAAGGAATACTAGCAAAATAACTGAGTTTAGTCAACTGGAACAGTGCAATTGGCCAAAAATAAGGCATAAAATGAGTGAAATCACCGATGAGTAAATGTAACCGAGACTGCTAACCTTATGAAAGTGTAATTCCATAAGTTTCTATTACATTTTGTACTTTTGGTTTTGTTACCTTCAGAAAAAGGTACAAGTTTTCTTTCTTTTTTTCTTTTTCTTTTTTTCTTTTTCTTTTTTTTCTTTTTCTTTTTCTTTTTTTTCTTTTTCTTTTCTTTTCTTTCTCCTCTCTCCTCCTCCTCCTCATCCCCCCTCCTCCTCACCCTGAGAGCAAATTTGAGATCAGGGATCTCAACCCTGAAAGGGTTAAGATAAGTTATGAGTGTAGTGTATGAGTATTTTACTTTTTTTTTTTTTTTGTATTTTTAATGCCTAGTTCCATTGCTAACTTAATATACGATAGTGTAAACATGTTATGAAGCATTTATATGCATTTATAAGTGAAAAAAGTGTGATTTGCTTTATGGTGATTTCCACTTTATGGCGGTAGCCTGGAACCTAACCAGCCATATAAGTGGGGCCCTCCTGTATATTTATAGATGGGATTGTAAGAGAAGTGATTGCTTGGGTGTTGGCAAGAGGTGTCGGATTGAAAGATAAGGAATCTAACACAAAGTGGGAGTTGTCACAGTTGCTTTTTGCTGATGACACTGCTTTTGGGAGATTCTGCAGAGGTTGGTGAGCAAGTTTAGTGGGGTATGTAAAGAAGGAAATGAAAAGTAAACATAGGAAAGAGTAAGGTGATGAGGATAAAAAATTTAGGTAATGAAAGATTGGATATCAGATTGGAGGGAGGGAGTGTGGAGGAAGTGAATGTATTCAGATATTTGAGAGTGGGCTTGTCAGTAGATGGGTCTGAAAGATGAGATGAATCAGTATTGGTGAGGGGAAAAAGGTGAGTGGTGTGCTGAGGAGTCTGTGGAGATAAAGAACATTATCCATTGGAGCAAAGAGGAAAATGTATAAGAGTATAGTTAAACCAGCACATTTATATAGGTGTGAAGCATGGATGGTGAATGTTGCAACAAAGAGAAGGCTGGAGGCAGTGCATTGTGCAGTGTGAATATAATGCAGAGAATCTGTAGTTTGGAAATTAGAATGAGGTGTGGGTGTTACTAAGAGTATTATCCTGATGGCTGAGGAGGGGTTATTAAGGTGGTTTGGACATTTAGGGAGGATGGAAAGAAATAGAATGACTTGGAGAGCATATAAATCTGTATGGGAGGGAAGGCTGGGTAGGGATCGGCCTAGGAAAGGTTGGAGGGAGGGGGGAAAGGAGGTTTTGTGTGCGAGGGGCTTGGACTTCCAGCAAGCGTGCGTGAGCATGTTAGATGGGAGCGAATGGAGACGAATGGTTTTAGGACTTGATGTGCTGTTGGAATGTAAGCAAGGTAACATTTATGAAGGGATTCAGGGAAACCGGCAGGCTGGACTTGATTCCTGGAGATGGGAAGTACGGTGCTGGCACTGAAGGAGGGGTGTTAATGTTGCAGTTTTATAACTATTGTAAGTATGCCTCTGGCAAGACAGTGATGGAGTGAGTGATGTTGAAAGTTTTTCTTTTTCGGACCACCCTGCCTTGGTGGGAAACAGCCAGTGTATTAATAAAAAAAAAAAAAAATAAGTCTGTAGTGGAAGGAAGGCAGGGTAGGGGGTCATCCAAGGAAAGGATGGAGGGAGGGGTTAAAGGAGGTTTTGTGTGTAAGGGGGCTTACAGTTTTTTAACTGTATTGTAGGCACACCTCTGGCAAGACAGTGGAGTGAATGATGATGAAAGTGTTTCTTTTTGGGGTCACCCTACCTTGGTGGGAAGCAGCTGATCTTTCTTTCTTTCAACACACCGGCTGTATCCCACCGAGGCGGGGTGACCCAAAAGGAAAAACGAAAGTTTCTCCTTTTACATTTAGTAATATATACAGGAGAAGGGGTTACTAGCCCCTTGCTCCTGGCATTTTAGTTGCCTCTTAAAACACGCATGGCTTACGGAGGAAGAATTCTGTTCCACTTTCCCATGGAGGTAAGAGGAAATAAACAAGGACAAGAACTAGAAAGAAAACCCAGAGGGGTGTGTATATATATGCTTGTACGTTTGTGTAGTGTGACCTAAGTGTAAGTAGAAGTAGCAAGATGTACCTGAAATCTTGCATGTTTATGAAACGGAAAAATGAACACCAGCATTCCTATCATCATGTAAAACAATTACAGGCTTTCGTTTTACACTCGCTTGGCAGGACAGTAATACCTCCCTGGGCGGTTGCTGTCTTCCAACCTACTACCTCTAAGAAACAGCTGATATGTTGATTAAAAAAAATAATGTAAGGGTGGATGATGTCTTGTTAGAGTACAGGTAATGCTTATGTACAGTAGTTGGCATTTATTATTTGTATGTTGCACTTTGCTGAAGTGTTTTACAAGAAAGGGGAACAGAAAGACTATAATTTTTTCGTAAGTCTTCTTATAATAATTGTTTTGATAAATCCTGCATGTCAGTGTAGGTATATTGAAAATTTCCAAGTAGAAAGATTTGTTGAATTTTTTTTGGTAAAAGACTCAAATTATGATGGTCATAAGGAAACACTAAACCCATAGGGGTCATACAGTTCCTTGGGAATGAGAGGTAGTCAGGTTTGATCTGAGGAAAGGGAGCATAGATTCAAATTCTTAGTATCGAGAGTCTTTCGCTAGCATCAAGGCAACCCTTTGAAGTGTAAGACATTCATTAAAAAATTTCTAGAGCTTGCTTAAACAATGGATATATTTTCAGGTGACAATTACGGGCTTTGACTTGTCCTCATATAAACAGTGTCTGCAGAGATGGAACAGTGCTGTTCAAACAATGAACACACAGTGTGAAGAGCTGGGAGCATCAAAGTGTTTGCCTGTATACTATGAGCAACTGGTTCTGCATCCACAGGAATGGATGAGAAAAATTTTGGGTTTCTTAGATGTTGCTTGGAATGATGCTGTGCTTCATCACGAGGAACATATCAATAAACCTGGCGGGGTTTCTCTCTCAAAGTTAGTAAAAGATTGTTAAATTATTTAAGCAAAGCCATAACTTGGTTTGACCTTTATTTTTTTTTTTTTTAGTGCAGATGTTTCTCACCAAGTTAGAGTGATTGGGATTGTGGAATTTATTATTAATATTGTTATCTTCAGAAGTGAAGAATACTTTAATTTTTGCTATGTTTATTTTTCTTTCTCTTTTTTTATAGACTTTAGATCATTATTATCATCATGATCAGTGGCGTCTCGTCGGGCCAGTAATATCTATACTATCATACTGCATCAAACTTCTGTTTTTAATCATTTTTTATCTCATTTCAACAAAAAAATAAAAAATTTGCTTATAAATACATTGAAAACAACATACAGCAGATTTTTCCTGTAATATATTTGTCAATTGCAAATTATTTTAGTGTAAGGTTGATGAAGCCATACGTCTGGCAGTGAGCATATGGGGGGGACTGTAGCTCTGCAGCTTCTATGGACGAGCCGCCACTGATCATGATACATAAAGTTTGACATCTCTGTGGCTTATCTGTGTTTTTAACTTCCAGCTGTCCAAGTTCCCATTTCTTGCCTCTCAAGCTGCCTCTTTCCGATAGTAAATTGTTCATAATGTTAGCAAAATATATTAAAAGTACTGAATAATGTTAATATGTTGAAAGCACTGATTAATGTTAGCATAATGTTGAAAGCACTTGAATAATGTTAGCATAATGTTGAAAGCACTGAACAAATACATAGTTTTCATGCTTTGTAAATCATACAGCACTTACTTGTTAGTAGTATGAATAATGTTAATTTTCAGGGTAGAGCGATCGAGTGACCAAGTAATCAAGCCAGTAAACCTGGATGCTCTTAGCAAGTGGGTGGGTCAGATTCCAAAGGAAGTGGTTGAGGACATGGCCAATATTGCTCCCATGTTGGCAACCCTTGGATATGATCCTTATAGTAATCCACCAAATTATGGTCAAGCAGATGCCTTGGTTGCTAATAACACTAAGAGGATACAGAAGGAGCTCAGTAAGTGGGAGGATCGTGCTGAGGCAGTGAGAAGTGCCTCCAAACATCGCAAAGCAGACAACACATGATTTCCATCTTCTAAGGTGCAACATCTCAAATATCATTCCTTTACCCTACCATGTGTAAAATTGGGATGTGTGACTACAGTGTATATGCATTTTGGTCAGAAACATAAGTTGGTATAGTTTTAAATGCTCTGCCATATTTGATTTTGAAGGAAATAATGTTATCTAATTTTTTAATTTTGATACAGTATTGTGTGCTCCATCACTTTGTGATGGTACAAAACAGTTTCTAAGGTGCAAAGTCTTACACCATATGGCATTTCACTATTTATATATGTATAATTTTTATCTTTTACTTAAATAGTAAATTGCACAAAGTAATTTAAGTGTAATACTTGCTGTGGTATCATGAAAAAAAAAAATATTGTGCCAGCTTTTGTAGCACTCATTTTCAACATAATTTTAGTGTGTGAGGGTAGATGGGTGGAGGTTTGTCTGTGTTAGTAGGTGGGGGTGTGTGTGGGGGATGTTGGTGTGTGTTTGCTTGTAGGTGGGGGTGGGTGTGTGTGTGCTTGTAGGTGGAGGTAGGTGGGTGGGGGTCACCCACCCACCCACACCTACAGTAGGTGTGGGTGGGTGTAGGACAGTGTTGGTTTGTGTTTGCTTGTAGGTGTGGGTGGGTGTGTGGGGGTGTTGGTGTGTGTTTGCTTGTAGGTGTGTGTTTGCTTGTAGGTGTGGGTAGGCATGGGTGTGTGTGTGTGTGGGGGGGTGTTTGCATATATAAATGTGTGGGGAGCATTTGCTTGTGTGTGTGTGGGGGTGTTTGCTTGTAAGTGTGGGGGGTGTTTGCTTGTAAGTAAGATAAGATAAGATTTCGTTTGGATTTTTAACCCCGGAGGGTTAGCCACCCAGGATAACCCAAGAAAGTCAGTGCGTCATCGAGGACTGTCTAACTTATTTCCATTGGGGTCCTTAATCTTGTCCCCCAGGATGCGACCCACACCAGTCGACTAACACCCAGGTACCTATTTGCTGCTAGGTGAACAGGACAACAGGTGTAAGGAAACGTGTCGAAATGTTTCCACCCGCCGGGAATCGAACCCGGGCCCTCCGTGTGTGAAGTGGGAGCTTTAGCCACCGGGCCACCGGTGTGGGGGTGTTTGTAAGTGGGGGGTTTGCTTATAGGTGTGTGTGGGGGTGTTTGCTTGTAGGTGTGGGGGTGTTTGCTTGTAGGTGTGGGGGTTTGCTTGTAGGTGTGAGTGTAGGGGGTGTTTGCTTGTAGGTGTGTGTAGGGGGTGTTTGTAGGTGTGTGTGGTGGGTTTTGTTGCAGGTGTGGGTGTGTGGGGGTTTGCTTGTAGGTGTGGGGCATGTTTGCTTGTAGGTGTGGGTAGGCATGGGTGCGGGGTGTTTGCTTGTAGGTGTGGGGGTGTTTGCTTGTAGGTGTGAGTGTGGGGGGTATTTGCTTTTAGGTGTGAGTGTGGGGGAGTGTTTGCATGTAGGTGTATGTGTGGGGGTGTTTGCCTGTAGGCATGGGTGGATGTGTGGGGGGATGTTGGTGTATGTTTGCTTGTAGGTAAGGGCTGGTGTGTGTGTGTGTGTGTGGGCATGTTTGTGTGTGTGCTTGTAGGTGTGTGTGGGGGTGTTTGTGTGTGGCTTGTAGGCATGAGTGGGTGTGTGTGTGTGTGCTCGTAGGTGGGTGGGGGTGTTGGTGTGTTTGCTAGTAGGTGTGGATGGGTTGTGTGTGCTTGTAGGTGTGGGTGGGTTGTGTGTGTTTGTAGGTGTGGGTGGATGTGTGGGGGTGTTGGTGTGTGTTTGCTTGTAGGTGTGGGTAGGCATGCGTGTGTGTGTGTGTGGGGGCTGTTTGCTTACATAAATGTGTGGGGGGAATTTGCTTGTGTGTGGGGGGTGTTTGCTTGTAGGTGTGAGTGTGGGAGGTATTTGCTTGTAGGTGTGAGTGTGGGGGTGTTTGCTTGTAGGTGTGAGTGTTGGGGAGTGTTTGCATGTAGGTGTGAGTGTGGGGGTGTTTGCTTGTAGGTGTGTGTAGGGGTGTTTGCCTGTAGGTGTGGGTAGGCATGGGTGGGTGTGTGGAGGGATGGTGTGTGTTTGCTTGTAGGTGGGGGCTGGTGTGTGTGGGGGGGTGTTGAGGTGTGTGTGTGTGCTTGTAGGCATGGGTGGGTGTGTGTGTGTGTGCTTGTAGGCATGGGTGGGGGTGTGTGTGTGTGTGTGTGTGCTCGTAGGTGGGTGGGGGTGTTGGTGTGTTTGCTTGTAGGTGTGGGTAGGCATGGGTGTGTGTGTGGGGGGATGGCTGTTTGCTTACATAAATGTGTGGGAGGAATTTGCTTGTATGTGTGGGGGTGTTTGCTTGTAAGTGTGGGTGTGTGTGGGGGGTGTTTGCTTGTAGGTGTGTGTAAGGGGTGTTTGTAGGTGTGTGTGGGGGGTGTTTGCCTGTAGGTGTGGTGTTGTGTGTGGGGTGTTTGCTTGTAGGTGTGGGTAGGCATGGGTGGAGGTATTTGCTTGTGGATGTGAGGGTGTTTGCTTGTAGGTGTGGGGGTGTTTGCTTGTAGGTGTGCAATGGGGTGTTTGCTTGTAGGTGTGGTGGGTGTTTGCTTGTGGGTGTGGGGGTGTTTGCTTGTAGGTGTGGGGGTGTTTGCTTGTGGATGTGGGGGGTGTTTGCTTGTAGGTGTGGGGGTGTTTGCTTGTGGATGTGGGGGGTGTTTGCTTGTGGGTGTGGGTGGTGTTTGATTGTAGGTGTGAGTGGGTGTGGTGATGTTTTTATATTCATCTGTGTTAATACATGCAGCTTATATGATACACACTTATTATATTCAATGGGAAGTACTGAATTCATAAGGGTGTTACAAGACCTGGGAAATGGGAGGTGTTATGGTTTGATCCAAGGAAGGAAGGAAGGAAAGCTGTTGGGATTTCTTGGATTGAGACTTTTTCAAAGGTTATAATATACATAACTACATTGTATTATGCAATTTTAGAAAACATTTTCCCTGGATTTTTGTTTTTCTTTGTATAAAATTTATGCAAAATTAAGTGTTGGTAATTTATATTAGTGAATTATGTTAATAATTTTTACTACAGTATATAAATGTAAATTATTTAATCATGCTATTGACAAAATAAAAACAGCAAATTTAATAGTGGCCCCTTGAATTACGATGGGCTTGAGTTAAGATAATTTTGAGTTACAATTTACCCTCATAAAGGAATTTAATTTTGAGTTGCGGTGAAAAATTTGAGATGCTATATGCGTGTGGTGGTTGATATGCATGGGTGGTCCTCAGCCAACCAGCGATGTGGTAGCTTGCCTCTTGGACTGGAAGCCAATAGGAAAGGGGAGTGGCTTAACAGCCAATCAGCAATGAGAGTGAATGTCTTTATGGTAGCATCTCAGCCAATAGCAACATTGTACTACAGTTTGTTTCCTCTTTAGTTTCAAGCTACCACATGTGTTGCCTGCTCCAACTCTGGATTATTTACCCTTCATAACTGCATTAGTTATGTATTAATGCCATCTTCTGTTACCAAATCATTGTGACCTCTAAAATGTGCAGTATACAGTGGAACCTCTACTTGCGGGCGTGTCCACGTGCGAGTTTTTCCAAATACGAGCAGTCGATGGGTCGATTTTTTGCTTCCATACGCGAGCAAAATTTCCACAAGCGAGCAGACCTCAAGGCAGGTTCCTTGACGCTGGTGAGGGGCTCTTGCTCTTGATCTAGGGAATTGTATCTCATTTGTTTGTTGGACTTCTTATTGAAACTTTGGCAATGTATGATGGAAAGATGCTTCTTAATGTACACCAAAAATGAAAGAAATCTAAGCATAAATAATGGAGTTCACTTATCAGCAATTAGCCACCCCTTAGTGGTAATTTCGAATGGTTTTTATGGTTGTATTCTTTTTTTTTTTGGTCTCATTTGATAGAATGGAAGATAAATTACAGAAATAGATATGATTTTGATTGCTTTCACGACAAAAAGTACCTTGAAATAGAGCTCAACCTAGGAGAAATGGTCCATTGCTTGGCTGTTTCATTGTAAACAAATGACGTCACTGTCCATTCCAATATGCAGTCGTGAATGGGTTGACATATTTATACAATTATTGCAATAAGGAATAACAGTAAATCTTATATTTTTTCGGGCCACCCTGCCTTGGTGGGAATCGGCCAGTGTGATAATAAAAAATAAAAAAATAAATAAAAATAATAATAATAATGATAATAATAATATGTATAATAATAATAATAATATGTATAATAATAATAATAATATGAATAATAACAATACATATAATAAAAATAATATAATACAATAATAATAATAATATATGTATAATAATAATACATATATAATAATGTACTACATACTATAATTATAATAATAGACGGCTTCAAAAGGCCGTGACTAATGGCAGTGTTTACCACAACAAAGAGGGAGCGGTTGTGGCTGCCTCCACCTGTTACATAATGACATACAGTGGACCCCCGCATAACGATTACCTCCGAATGTGGCCAATTATGTAAGTGTATTTATGTAAGTGCGTTTGTACGTGTATGTTTGGGGGTCTGAAGTGGACTAATCTACTTCACAATATTTCTTATGGGAGCAAATTCGGTCAGTACTGGCACCTGAACATACTTCTGGAGTGAAAAAATATCGTTAACCGGGGGTCCACTGTATTTTATTCATTCTAGAGTATATATCGTGTTTCTATGTTATTTATATTGTCTGTTTTGTCATATTAGATGAACTGTGATATATAAATAAGCCGTATAGATGATATTAGCGAAATTATTCACGAAGAATTTTGCCCGGTGTCCAGACAAACTCTCGTCCACCGCCGACACCGCCCTTACCACTACATGAATGCCATATTTTATTAATTTTAGAGTATATATCAGGTTTCTATGTTATTTATATTGTTTATTATGTCATATTAGATGAAGTGAGATAGATAAATAAGCCGTAGAGTTGATATTAGCGAAATTATTGAAGTACAGAATTCCACTGGAACAGATTAATTGCATTTCAATTAATTTAAATGAGGAAAATTGACTCTGCAAACGAGTAAATCCAGTTGCGAGCAAGGTCATGGAACGGATTAAACGTGCAAGTAGAGGTTCCACTGTATAGGCAATTTCTCTGAAGATCAAGCAACAAATTAGTCCAATGGTGTGTGAGAATATAGCTTTCCATAATCAACTTCTCTCCTATTATTAAGCAAAAAAAAATTATAAAGAATATCAAAGTGGCTGATGAATCTGAGATAGTGAAAAAAGGCAGAGAAATTATAGAGATGAAAAGACTCTTGTTATTGTGGATTAGAGAGCAACAGATGTAGGGAGATACAGGGCTTGCAAGTTATATCTGTGAGCACGCAAAACAAATTTATAGTGATTTAAATTACTGTTTGCTCTCAAACAATGATGCTACTCCATATGATGATTTTAAAGCTAGCAAAGGGTGGTTCAAAGGTTTCAAGAAATGGGTCGCTATTAACCCTTTGACTGTCGCGGCCGTATATATATGTCTTATGAGGTACCGTGTTTGACGTATATATACTCATAAATTCTAGCGGCTTCAAATCAAGAAGGAGAAAGCTGGTAGGCCCACATGTGAGAGAATGGGTCTGTGTGGTCAGTGTGCACAATATAAAAAAAATCCTGGAGCACGCAGTGCATAATGAGAAAAAAAAAACTCCGACCGTTTTTTTTTTAATTAAAATGCCGACTTTGTGGTCTATTTTTGTATAGTATTTATGGTTGTATTCTCGTTTTCTTGGTCTCATTTGATAGAATGGAAAACATATTATAGAAGTAGAGGTAATTTTGATTGATTTTACTATAAAAAGAACCTGGAAATGGAGCTCAAAGTAGGGGAAATGTTTGATTTTTGCCAATGTTCAAAAGTAAACAAATGATGCCATTGTCCAATAAATGTCCAACTAGCCATTCTAATATGCAGTCATGAATGGGTTGATGTTATTTATACAATTATTTCAGTATTGTAGTAGTCTGCATAATAGTAAGTCTTCTATTTTTTGTTCGAATAAAAATTAAAAATAGAAAGCAAGAGTAATATCAGAGGGGCCTGGAGACATGACTGATGAACAAAGAAAATGTTGTTTTAGAGCCAGGAATGTCTGCCGTGTTCATTCTGGTCCTTATTTTGAAATTGTCATATTTTTTAGTTTTCGTGAAATTGGCCAAATTGCAAATTTCTGACCACATTATTAGGTTGAAATCGGTAAATGGGCAGATTCTTATACTCAATCGATAGAAAAAATGGAGTTCTAAAGAAATAGCTATGAGTTTGGGCGACTGGAACAATGGAATTAGCCGAAAATAGGGCTCAAAGTGGGTGAAATCGCCGATTTGTAAACAGCGCCGAGGTCGCTAACTTCGCGAGAGCATAATTCCGTCAGTTTTCCATCAAATTTTGTTTTTTTGGTGTCATTACAATCGGGAAAAGATTTTCTATCATAAGAAAAAATAATTTTTTTTTTTTAAATTTTGCGACACCAGGAGATACTTCAGGATTGGTGGTTGTGACAGTCAAAGGGTTAAGTGTTGTGAGAAATGGTGAGGCTTCCAGTGCTGATAAGGAAGCCTCTGAAGGTTTTTATCTTCAGTTTGAAGACCTTGTTATGGTGGGGGGTTATCTTCCTCACCATGTGGAAAAGACAGGGCTCCTTTGAGAAAGAATGCCCAGGCAAACATTCATCACAAAGGATGAGTCCACTTTGCCTGGCATAAGCTTGTGAACGATAGGCTTTTTTTGCTGTTGGGTAGGGCAGATTGGGTGTGTTCTGGCATTGCAACAAAAAGGCCTGGGTGACAAGACAATTCATCAGTGAATGGGTATAAGAAGTATTTTGTGACAGTCAAGAGCTACCTGCAGATCCACAAATTTCCTGTAAAAGCACTGTTACTGTTGGATAATTCACCAGGACATGATCCAGAACTTGCCAGTCTCTGGAGGTAGAATTTAACTTTGTTACAGTTAAATTCCTTCCACCCAACACCACTCCTCTGCTTCACCCTGTGGACCAGCAAGTTATTGTGAATTTCAGAAAGAGTTACACCAAGAAGATGTTTGCCAAGTGCTTTGCAGAGATACTTCAGGAGATGGAGCCATCAGCTTCAGAAAACTCTCCAAGATCAAGTTTAACATCTTAGATTGTGTGATGCTCGTAGTGAGTTCCTGGAGTGAAGCTTCCACTTGGTGCCTCATTGTAGCCTTCAGTCACCTTTGCCTGAAGGATTTGAGGCTGAAGAGGATGTAAACCAGGAGATGGTCGTTCTTGGTGGGAAAATGGAGTTGGAGGTTCATGAAAAGAATGTGGAGGAGTTAATTCAGGGGCACAGGCAGGAGTTGAGCAGAGTTCCAGCAATGAGGGAAGATGGATGAGGACAGTGGGGAGGAATAATAGAGGGAGATGACCATAGGATGACAGCTGCAGAAACTTGCAAGTTGTTTACTTATTGGAAAGATGTGAAAACAAACAAAAGAAAGTGCCCAGACATTGAAAAACTGATCTCTTCCTGTGTTCCTGAAGATAATGTTTTATCTTATTTTAAAAGCCTCAGAAGAAAGCAACAGAAACAAGCAACTCTGGAGAGTTTTTTCAAGAGGCAGTGGAGAGGAGGTTATTGGTTTGAAGGAGCTTCTCCTTACAACCAGTAACCTCCTCTCCACCACACCATCAACTCTTTTTAAGTCCAAGCTACAGTAAAAAATTGCACCTATTTGGTCTTGGAATCATTTACCATAAAACCATGTATTTTGGGATTCGAGTTTGGGTAGTTTTAAGATGTCTACTGGAATGGATTAATATCATAACTCAAGGAGCTATTCTATAGTTATGGTGTCAGATACATTACTTTTAGAGCTCAGGTACTTTTTAAAACTTAATATAGCCAAGAATTCCCATGATTTAATGGTAGGATACTACCTTTGAAGTACAGGTAATGGGTGAATGCACTGATGTGTATAGTTCTATTTAAATGTGAGAGGTTATATATTGTGAAGTGCGCATTTCTGTTTTCTTAACCTCACTGTTGTATCCAGAGGTTTCTACTCTATATTAATGACCACCTCAGGAATGAACAGTTAGTCAGAGACATGTATATGAATACATATGAGCAGTAGTGTTGGTACATTTCTGGCAAGA